GCAAACTGTACTTTTCAAGCGACATTTGTCAGATGGAGGTCATAGGCTTTACTATTCTTATTTGAATAGCATATAAAAGTATTTATTTAGTAAAAAAAGATTTATGCAAAAGTTGTAGAAAATTTAATGATGAATAACTTTCATAACATGTTTTTTTATCAATTAATGGCATTTTAAAGGCTTTAAAAATAAAGCGAAATGTTATAAGCATATTCAACTTGCTTCACAAGCTTTCTTTATGGCTGCATCATTCTTTCGTTTTCTTTTTTTGACACAATGGTAAGCAGAAATTTTACGCCCCATTGTAAAAGCTAATAACAAAAATATTAGTTGAAGCAACGATAATTAATAACTAGGCAGGTACTTATAATAATAAAAATTAATACGGTTGTGGAAACTTACATACAGTCAACGATTAAAGTTTTGCGGTCGTAGTATATCCAGCCAGTTTTACGATGAATGCACTCGTAGCGTCGCTCGGGACGCGTGCGGTACAAAGCGACACAGGTCCGACCTCCAAAGGCGCTGGCGCCGTACTGAACGGCGCCTAGATTTGCACTAGTATATATTGCATTTTATGGGTGATATTCAGAGTCTTATAAAATAATAATTAATGAACTTATTATAAAAATATATACATATTTCAATAGTTCAATGATTGTAGATTAGTTTTATGAAAGTTTTTTATAGTAATTCTATTTGATTCAATATCAAAATACGAGGTAAATCTGCGTTATTTTTTGGGGAAACTCACGGAGGTTAGATTTTTTTTTAATAATTAATGAGATGGAAAATCAAGATTCTAATACATTATGTTGCAACAAAAACATATTTCTGATGTAGTAGTAATTAATTTGATCTAATTTATTGAACATTATTGTGAGATTTAGGCGTTTTAAGGTGTGCATATTATCGTTTTTTCGGTAAACTAGCTGCGGTAGATCGATCATTACAAAAAAATGAAAATAGTATTTGTAAATATTCTACATTAATTTTCAATAGGAAGAATAAATCTACTGTTTACTTCTATTGGAAGTAGTAAAAACCTCTTCAAAGGGGGCAAACCAGGCGCTCACAAATTGCGATTTATTGCAAAAAATGTGAAAGGGCGCTTAAATAAAATTCATTTGCTTCGATTTTCCCATCGAAATAAGATATTTTCCCGCAGTAAAATGTAGCCTATGTGTTAATCCAAGGTATCAGCTAACTCCACACCAAATTTTATTTAAATCGTTCCAGCCGTTTAGACGTGAAGAAGTAACAAACATACACACTCACATACTCACAAACTTTCGCCTTTATAATATTAGTGTGATTAATGTCCCTGTTATTTCATTAGTGTCACTGCTGGGGCACAGGCCTTCCCTATGGATGGAATAGGGGGATTGGGCCATGACCCACCACGCGGGCCCAGTGCGGATTGGTGGGTACTAACGACTGCAGATGCAGCCGGGATCAACGGCTTAACGTGCCTTCCTGAGCACGGACGAGCTGGAGTTTTTTATTTTTTATTTTTATTTTAGAAAACACTCACACCAATTAGCCTAACCCCAAGCTAAGCACTATAAGGCTTGTGTTATGGGATACTAGGGTAACGGATAGAATACACATACTGTAAATATATAAGTATATTTAAATAGAAAATACATATTAAACATCCATGACTGGAGTACAAATGCTCGTATTCATCACACAAACATCTGCCCCCACCGGTATTCGAACTCGGAACCTCTCGAGTTGGCGACACCATGAAACACGGCGTACAAACCACTCGACCACGGAGATCGTCAATTATATTTAATAATTAGAATAAAATAAAATAAAGATAAAGTTTGAATTATATTTTTATGCATTTAACTGCTAGATGTTTATATGTAAACAAAATTTTACTAGAAAAAAAAACTTTAGTATTACACATGTAGCAGTCAAATGCTTAAAAACATTACCATAATTGCTGTTTCTTCTTTCAAATGTTTAATACCTACTTGTACAGGTATTTGGAATTATATTAAGGAAGAGGTACATAGTAGAAAGGTTCAGCTTCCATACATGTTTGGCCTAAAGATCAATAATCATTTATTTTGTCGATCTTTACAAAATATATTTGTTTTGATGTTATATAAACAACTTCGATCAGTCTTTGGCTGAATGTTACTACACCCATAGCCATTAAAAATGATTCGTATGTTTTCCAAACCGGTAAAATATAAAGTACTTTTTAAAATGAATATATTATACAAAGGTGTCCGTTAAAATCTAATGACTGTAAAATTAAAGTAGAAATTACGCCAAGAATTACCATGTATGTCAATATTTTTTGTACATTTGGGCCAATTTGAGCAATCTCCTTTAATGTATTGGAAATGTTATTAACCTTTTCCGTTCTGAGTTTGAAGTGAATTTAGGATCATTGACATCAATTTAACCAACCCTTGATTCAATTAAGAAATAAACATACATTTATTATAATTGAGCAACGTTTCGTATTGAATCAAAGTAGAGTTGCTCTTGGTAGGGACGTTAACCACGAAAATGAATGTCCTACTTTAATATCATTATTCCAATATTATCATTATGTTCCATTAATGCGAGGAGCTCGATGGCGCAAGTGGTTAGCGCGTTCGGCTGCGATCGTTGAAGTTAAGCAACTTTCGCAGTGGTCGGTCATTGGATGGGTGACCAAAAAAATTTCTATCTCAAGTTCCTCCGTGCTTCGGAAGGCACGTTAACCCGTTGGTCCCGGCTGCATCTGCAGTCGTTAGCACCCGCCAATCCGCACTGGGCCCGCGTGGTGGGTCATGGCCCAATCTCCGTATTCCATCCATAGGGAAGGCCTGTGCCCCAGCAGTGGGGACGTTAATAGGCTGATGATGCGATGATGAATGCGAGAAGGATAATTATTGTACCCGTTTTTAAGCAAATATTTGAAAATTTATGTACATGTCGTCCGATAAGTTAATAAATCGGTTTTCGCGAAAATCCTAGGGATTTTGCAAAAACACGGTTAAATAGGAAATTGCGATGACTTTGCTCAATCTTACTGTTAACAATTTTTTTTCTGGCGTTCCTACGGCCTCTGCCGCGGCATGTTCGCTACGCTCGCTCGACATTGTAATTGTAAAGCCGGGTCTCCAGCAAAAGGTTTTTGAAAACATGCAACAAAAACACATACACAAAACTTTGTTTCTGAAACATGTTTCTCTACACACGCCGAATACTACTCAAGTGGTTGTCGTACACAAAATACACAGGGCTGCATACAAAAACTACGATCCAGGTGCAACGAATGTCCGACCTGGGAGGGACGACACCCCCGCATGGCCGGGGGGTGTCGTCGTAGGAGGGTGGATGGGGGAGGTTGCGAACACTCCCCCGAGAAGGGCTCCCCTGGAGGAAGCAGGGGAACAAAGGCTGCGGGTCCTCAGATGCAATACTCGATCCTGAGGCCCCGTACAATGCCTGATGGCGGCCATCGCTGGGGTTTTAGTGGGTAGGCCTCCCCCTTCTTGGGAGGAGAGCCCCACATAACCACCATGTGGTATGCAATTTAATGCATTTCCCCAGCGTATCAAAAAAAAATAAAGGTGGAACGAATGTCAAATTTGACAATAGTTTCGTACATTTTATGTCAAAATTGAAACGTCAAAATGAAAAGTTGTACTCGGAGCGTAGATTTGGAACGGAGCCCCCGGTAGCGAATTGATAAAAATAGGCTGATGAAACCATAGAGGTATAACAATAGAGTAGGGGAGATATAGGCTCTACTACAAGTGGAAGTGTCCCTCTAATAGAAAGAGAAAGAAGATGAGAGACCGCTAGCTTTTCTCTCTAATCGCGCATGCGCATTGGCAACTGTAAGCATCTTACTATTTTGATGTGATACCATTGTATGCCACGCGTCACAAGGCTAATCATAATCATAATCAAAATCATTTATTCAGTTTAGGCTGTTACAAACACATATGAATGTCTAGAAGCTACGCCATCGGTTCGTAAATCTACGGCGGGAGACCTTGTACTGAGAAGAACCGGCAAGAAACTCAGCAAGGGCTGTTTTTTTCTCCCTGTTTTATCATTTACAGAGTCGTCAAGTTGAAAGATGACTTCAGAGATGATTCATGAAGTCACCTTTCATTACATAATGTGAAATTATACATTAATTGGTCACCTGACAAACAGAGTTATTTATAATCTCTTTCTACTGTCTAGTCACTTACACTGGACACTTTTAGAGCCGCCTTCCCCACTCTATTCTTAAACCTTCTGTGGATGAAACAATACCCTGCCCCTCGACCCGTGCGGGGGGAATTTGACTACGTGTGGAAAACACATAGTCAAATTCGGCCTCGAATAGCAAAAACTTTGTTGATGCAATCAAATAATTAAATTCATTTGTAATTTTTATCTTTAACTGTACTGTATATTGCGATACCCGGACAGGGTTCATGTTAGGTACTATAAGCATTTTGTAACCATCCATGTAACCATATGAGTGCAATAAATTGAATTGAATTGAATTGAAAAATATGTGTGTGTGAAACAAAGTTTTGTGTAGACGATTTTGTTGAATGTTAATATACATTGTTTTGTTGATTGTGTAGGGCCAAACACGGACTGGAGACCCCGCTTAACGCCAATTTAAGCTAACCTAGTGAGAACCCAAGAAGCCAAAAACTTATAAACATAAAGAAAATATAACCAGAAAAAATCCACGCGGACCAGGCAGCAGACGGGACTCGAACCCACCCTTCGCTCAACTATAACAACTTATGAATATTTAAAATTGTTTTCGCAATCTCACTGAGGCGACTAGCGTTTAAGTAAAAATCTTATCTTTCTCATTAAGACTGAGAAATTACATCACCATTCCCAGAATCCCTAGAAATTTCACATAATTTCTATCAAATCACCTTACGACATACATCCCATTCCATCACGGAGATCGTATAGGTGACTAATAAAAACTACTTAATATAAAGATAAAAAAAATAACTAGTTACCCGCTGATAGAGGCCCAAATTTATAAATGTACTCTACCATTACATCTTCGTTACTTTTCACTCTTCTGAACCCAATAACGGGCACAGGGGTGGCGTGTGATCTTCTCAAATAGTACAAATCCTTAGAATTCATCTCAAGAGTGTTGTTCAAAACATGTTTGGGTCGCTCCCATCTGCACCTGCCTTTCCGCGCCTCGTATGGGAGGTAATCAGTATCTTTTAAGACACCTCCATAGTTTGTTACGATTACACTAAAAAAGATAATGAATAACATTTAAGGTTTTGTACCGAAAAGGACATTGCAGGCATATAATAACATATTGTCACAAACGCTCTCAAAAAGTAACCGCGAAAGTGCTAGAGATCAAAGGACACCCGGCATTTTGTGCCAAAGTTGTATACTTTTTTAATTTTTTTATCTGTGTTTCATAATTGGGTAACGTAGTCTGGCAATATTTGTCATCAGCAGCTAGCTGTCAATGTCAAATACGTAGATTTGTCATCAAAAGGGTTTCTATATCAAAAAATATTAATCATTAAATAACTTCTTTCCACGATTCACTAAAAATAAGGCAAAAGTAGTTTTATGTAGCAAATAATTTTGGCTTTATTTTGAAACCAAATTCAACTGTATACAAGTTTAGCATTTTTCCTATGAAAACTGCCGGGTCTCCTTTGCCAGATCACCGCGGGTCGCGATAGAGGTCGAGTAATGCGGCTGAGCTGAGAAAATGAGCCTTATACAGTGCGACCTAAGGGAGAAAGTGCAACGACATCTGCACTTGTTTACAAGTTATGCGCGTTACCTGCGTAGGTATAAGTAGGTACTTCGTACTCGCGGGTGCTAGCTAGTTCTCAATTTAACAGGTACTTTCTAGAATGCGTCGATCGGCGTATATAAGCGCGATTGGCCAGTTGAGCTTCAACAGCGATATCGGAGAGAATCCAAAGGCGATCAAAGTGCAACAAAAGTGTTCAATTGCGATAGTTTAGAGACTTGTATAGTGAAATACAGTGTTTATTATGTAGTTAACATTGTGTGTTAAATTGTATGCACTGAGTGGTGAATAAAGAACTGTCAAGCGTGAACTAGCATATAAATTCGAACCCCATCCCGACACGTAACAATATCTATATACTTATAATAAATCTGTAGAGAGGTCAATTCTGTACATGAAATATATTTTCAAAATAACTATCAGGGGGTGATTAGTGATCGATACTGATGCCAAAAATGCAAACAGAAAAATTTTTGTCTGTCTGTCTGTCTATCTGTCTGTGTGTATGTTCCTTATAGAAACAAAAACTACTCGACGGATTTTAACCAAACTTGGTACAATTATTCTTCAGACCCCTGGGCAGGTTATAGTATACTTTTCATCACGCTACAACCAATAGCAGCAGAGTAGTGAAGGGAAATGTTGAGAAAACGGGAGAAGTTACTCCATTTTTAAGCTTCCGTCGCGTGTGCAGCCTTAATGGTTAAAGTACATAGAAATCCCGCAACAGCATATGTCTATCTTTTATGGTTGACTCACAATAACACGTGTAATTATATGAATAAAGTCATTGTTTATAGCACAAGCCTGAGAACAAAAACTATAGTTTACACTACAGCTCTACACCGAAGCGAAGCGAGGGCGGGCCACTAGTACTGAATAAACATGTACAGAATGTATCAAAGTACTTACGAAAAAACATCTAATATACTCGTATATTGACCACAGTTGATATTAGCAGTGCAGTCCATGATAAATGCCTCCGACAAAATTTCCTGTTTCCCCGTATGGATTACTAGTTGACTCTCAATATTTGCTGAAAGTTAGTCGTTAGTTAGGTACACTGGTGTTATATCTACAATAAACCAGATGTAAACTTTAATCTTAGACCCAAGTTTTTTAATCTGTTACTCATGAAGCATGTATAAGATTGTGGAGAGAAATAAAGTTTATTATTATTATATATTATATTATATATATATATTATATTAACTAGTGGCCCGCCCTCGCTTCGCTTCGGTGTAGAGCTGAAGTGTAGACTATAGTTATTGTTCTCAGGCCTGTATTATACACAATGACATTCTTCTTATACCTACCGCCGCCGCGACCCGTGTCGAGCGCGGCAACCGTTACACAAAAATAATCCTTTTATAGCATGATTCAGTATTCACGTGCGACGGCGCGATGGCTTATTTCATGTAAAGTTTGGTGTTTGTATACCGATTTCTATGATTCTTTTTTTATGGAATAGGTAATAATGTTAACTTTTTTAAATTAGGGATGAGTGAGAGTATTATAAACGTAAGAGTAAACAAATATAATCAGAATACTCCGAACTGCTAAGCTATCAGGAGTTACACCTGTTATTGTGAGTCAACCATAAAAGATAGACATATGCTGTTGCGGGATATTTTTTAGACAATTCTATGTAGAATATTTCTGTCATACATGATTTCTATGTAACTTTAACCATTAAGGCTGCACACGCAACGGAAGCTAAAAAATCTTCTCCCGTTTTCCCAACATTTCCCTTCACTACTCTGCTCCTATTTACTGTAGCGTGATGAAAAGTATACTATAACCTGCCCAGGAGTATGAAAAATAATTGTACCAAGTTTCGTTAAAATCCGTCGAGTAGTTTTTGTTTCAATAAGGAACATACACACAGACAGACAGACAGACAGACAGACAAAAATTTTACTGATTGCATTTTTGGCATCAGTATCAATCACTAATCACCCCCTGATAGTTATTTTGAAAATATATTTCATGTACAGAATTGACCTCTCTACAGATTTATTATAAGTATAGATTAATAACACACAGTCTTATATGACAGTAAAATGATTTAGTTAGTAATGAACATTCAGATAATTTTATTATTTTTTATTCATCATCATCATCAGCCTATTAATGTCCCCAATGCTGGGGCACAGGCCTTCCCTATGGATGGAATAGGGAGATTAGGCCATGACCCACCACGCGGGCCCTTAGCGGATTGGTGGGTGCTAACCACTGCAGATGCAGCCGGGACCAACGGCTTAACGTGCCTTCCGAAGCACGGAGGAGCTCGAGATAGTAATTTTTGGTCACTCATCCAATGACCGACCACTGCGAAAGTTGCTTAAGTTCAACGATCGCAGCCGAACGCGCTAACCACTTGCGCCATAGCTCCTCGATTTTTTATTAAAGTCTTTAATAAAGATGGTTGTTGTTGACTTTCAATATATTGGACGAAACATAGTAATATTTTATTTTACCGTATTAAAATGATAAGTCTCTATCTAGAACGTCCACGTGGCAGCTTTATTGAGAAGAAAATGCATTTTTTTACAATAGATGTCGCTAGGTGCGCTTAAACCTGATTCATGTAAGTTGATTTTTCTGAGAGATAAACTTTTTTAATGTAAGTAATATAAATTGTCATGTTTGTGTACGATAGCGCAAAAAATAAATATTGTATTCTACCACTTACATGATAGTACTTATTTGTTTCTTAGGTTTTCACGCACATCACTCATTAAATAAAACTAGTTTTTACGGGTTAATGCACGAAACTTTATTTATTTATTGACGTTTCGTAGCCTTTACAGGCTTCGTCGTCAGAATAAAACTTTTATTTAATTTGTCGAGCTACCTTCGAAAGACTTTTATTGAGCGTTTGGTTATTTCATTGTTCGATTTTTAAGTGTTATTGTCTATGTATGAATTTATTATTTAATTTACTTAATAAAGTATTTTATTTCAAATTATTTTTTGTAATTTTGAGTTTATTTATTTGACCCTAACTACCGTAAACTACCACCGGTTCCAAAATTGGGAGACCTTTCTGAGAAGAACCGGCGAAACAAACTCAAGAGAGGCTTTCTATCTCCTTCTTATGTTAAATTATGCAAACAAAAAGAACTAATAGTATCTGATGGTCTTGCAGTGTGTGCTCGGGGTTGGGATTTTATCTCCTGTATAATAGGTTCCCAAGCACTGATATGATGATAGTACTTTTATACTGATAATATAATTAAAGCAATTCGTGAAAAATTATTCCCTAACCATTCCAAAATATCAATAATGCACAACGTTAATATTCAAGTTTTCACATCTGCCGGCACTCCCGGAGTGTAACCCGCCTTTTTTTTTTTGATTATTATTGCTATTTGTAGTAAAAGTGTATGTATTGATTGGGGCAAGTAATGATTTCAATTAAAGATGAATCGATCGATAGTTGTATTTGTTGGAACTCATTGAATTTTTATCAAATAACAAATTGCTGATGTAGCCGGGCGGACGCACTAACCATTATGAAACAAAACCTGGTCAGAGTGGATTTTTTCTCTCCGGGGTATGTTGGCCAATGTTCAGAATGTCCAAGGTGACATAATGCCCGGATATTATAGAGACCGTTGGTCAATATGTACAAGTCTCTGAATGTCCAAGAAGTCATAATGAGGATGTTATAAAGAGTGTTAGTCAATGTGTATGTACAAGTTGTTGAAATGTGAACCCATTATATTTTAGTTAAAACAAAAAAAAAAATGGTTGCCTGTAAAGTCGGTTTTACGGGCGAAGATTTTACGTGACAACGTCTTTTTCTCGGTAGAATATTTATTGATATGAATATAATTAAATTGCACAATAGGAACAAGGAATTGAATGAAAATAAGAATTGCACAAATTTTAACTATAGAAATATATTTTGTTTACTAAAACATTGTACATGTAAACTTAAACTCATCGTAACGTTACCGAGCGTTACACTTTTTCATAAGTGACTCCCAGCCGCAACCTAATTTAAGACGTTGTCACGTCAAAATTTTTTAAAGAAGAAAGAGAAAGAGGAGTAAAAAACATATATTTTTTATTCGACATTCTTTATTCCAAATCTTGTACGTGCACTATCTATATATATAAAACTCAAAGGTGACTGACTGACATAGTGATCTATCAACGCACAGCCCAAACTACTGGACGGATCGGGCTGAAATTTGGCATGCAGGTAGATGTTATGGCAGAGGCATCCGCTAAGAAAGGATTTTGATCAATTCTACCCCCAAGGGTATAAAATAGGGAATGAAAGTTTGTATGAAACTTTGTCAATTTTAAACCGAACGCGTTGAGATTTTGCATGCAGGTATAAGAAGAATCATAGATGAATGCCATGTGAAAGCATGAGAACAAAAACTGTAGTCTACAATTCAGCTCTACACCGAAGCGAAGTCGTCCGCTAGTCATACATAAAACTTTAGTACACGATTTCAAGCCGTATAGCACATCTTCTTAAAATCGAAAAATAACAAACCAATACATTACCGACAGCACTGAACACCGAACATATATTGCATGCTCCTTGGTCTTTCACCGGCGTCACCTTGTTACTTTTTCTCCAATCATAGCTCTCTGGGGGTAGTCCCTTATTTACCAGCATTGGTTCATCAAATCCATCAGCAACGTGTCTTTTATCAGGTATTAGCTCACAGAAACAATCGTATTGCAGAGTCAGTGCTACTAAGATTATTCTATATAGAGACATTGTTCAAGTGTCGACTTGTAAAATCTTCTTTGGAATGCATTAAAACGCTTTTATATCGTTTCGAGAAATTTGTGCGATGCAGGGTTTTATTGACAGTTTTACTGTTTCAAATTAAGTGCTACGTGCCTCGTGCGTTTCTCATAGCTGGATGGATGTTCACATTTATCGTCATGTCTTAGTTTAATTTATTACATTGTTTTGACGGCCACGCTGCCGCTGGCGCGGCGGCAATGCCGTTTTTTTGCTATGAATATTCATATGTTTGTGTTTATGATATTGTGATAAATGATGAGTGCCTTTAATATTTTGGCGCTGTCATATTTTTCTGCGATGTTATGAAAGGAAGGCAATTTAAAACGAATGTCGCTTTTTATTAGCAGTCTTTTTTAGGGTTCCGTAGTTCTGACAAGGAACACTTATAGTTTCGTCATGTCCGTCTGTCCGTTCTCGGTTTTGCTTAAAGACTATTAGCACTAGGGAGCTGTAATTTTGTGGACATATGTAGGTATATCGATCACGACGACAAAATGGTAGAATAAAATTTTGAAAAACATTTTTGGGGCAACTCCCCTACATGTAACCTGGGGATGATATTTTTCGTTATTTACCCCATCGTGTGGGATATCTTTGAATAGGTCTTTTAAAATTATTTAGGGTTTTCTAAGACTATTTTCCGATTAAGGGAGCCGTTTGCGAAACATTGAACTTTAAAGTGCTAATTTTTGTTCGAGTAGGTCGCTCCCCCTTCTAAAAGCCAAACTATTGACGTGAATAATCTGAAAAAAATCATGATGCTTTTTATTAACTTTTAAGGAAAACTGTAAAAGTTGAGATAGATTTGTTATTTTAAGAGTAATAGTCGTGCATCTTTGGTTAAAGAAAATTTGTTACCTATTGAAAATTCCTTAGAAGAAAACATTAATACTGACATAGATGTAGCAATTGTATCGCAAAACCTTGCATTGCAACAAAACCTAATAAAAAACTATTTAAAAAGCACAATAAAATATCATTTGTTCCACAACGTTACCGCGAGTACGTGCCAACGGCAACGGTTTCTGTGTCGCGCTAACGTTATGTTTTTATAAAAAGTATATAAGCACTTGAAAAGATCGGTGGTTATCTGCATTATCCCTCTCTCAGGGGATAATCGCTTCAGATGAAGCTTGTAAGGCCCTTCAGGCCTTATAAGCATATACTTCGGGTGTGTTTTAGTCAGTAGGAGTCTGACATAACCTTGCAGCCGGCTGTAGGGTATCCATGAGGATTTCACACCCGCTCCCCCGCCTGGAAGGAAATAAAAAAAAAATTAGCGGTTGTCATTCGTATTTAAAAAAGGGCTACCCTTTTACAAAATTGCGCCGCTGCCGTACTGATCGGCGCGTAGGTAGATTTGCACTAGTATATATTGCATTTTACGGGTGAGGTTTCGAGTCTTATAAAATAACTATTAATGAATTAATTATAAACATAATATATTTCAGTAGTTCAATGATGGTAGATTAGTTCTATTTAATTCAATATCAAAATACGAGGTAAACCTGCATTATTTTCTGGGAAAACACATGGAGGTTAGATGATGTTTAGATAGATGTTTTTTTGATAATTAATGAGATGGAAAATCAAAATTCTAATACATTATATTACAACAAAAACGTATTTCTGATGTCGCAGTAATTAATTTGACCTAATTTATTGAACATTATTGAAAGATTGAGGCATTTGAAGTTGTGCATATTATCGTTTTTTCCGTAAACTAGCTGCAGTAGAACAATCATAAAAAAAAAATAGTATTTGCAAAAATTCTACATTAACTTACAACAGGAAAAATAAATTTACTGTTTACTTCTATAGGAAATAGTCAAAATCTTTTCTAAATGGTTAAAGGAGGCGCTGAAAAATTACGATTATTTTGAAAAAAAATGTGAAAGTCTATTTCTTATAATTTATAATACCATCCAATGTCGCTTGAAAAGTACGGTTTGAAAAAAAATCTCGAAACACTTTTTTAGCACTCAGCTGATTCTAGAATAAAAACCAAACATTTTTAAACAAACAATAACAAATGTTGATAATTAATATTATATGTTTTTTTTTCACTTATTGAGTGTTGGCTATGAATGTTTGATAACCTAAATCGTCAACCAAATGTCACTTTATGTTGCGTTTAGAAACTCGATTTAAAACTTTCGTTTACATATAGGATGCATGTTCGTATGTGACCTGCATGATTATTCATAACTTCTCCGGCGGTAATGTAAAGATGAGCGAAATTGAAGAGCTAGATTCTGATTAATGTTTTGACGTGACAACGTCTTAAATTAGGTTGCGGCTGGGAGTCACTTATGAAAAAGTGTAACGCTCGGTAACGTTACGATGAGTCTCTCGTGTTAAGTTTAAGTTTACATGTACAATGTTTTAGTAAACAAAATATATTTCTATAGTTAAAATTTGTGCAATTCTTATTTTCATTCAATTCCTTGTTCCTATTGTGCAATTTAATTATATTCATATCAATAAATATTCTACCGAGAAAAAGACGTTGTCACGTAAAATCTTCGCCCGTAAAACCGACTTTACAGGCAACCATTTTTTTTTTTCACACAGTCTTAATAAAGAAATACTATTAAAAATCGGTTGTGTTCTTTCTCAACCTTAGTAAATTAATTTTATAAAAAAATCTGATGTTTGTCTCACTTAATCTTAGTAAATAAGTTTTATTGAATAGCAAATTTTTTTGCTCACTCTACCTATTTGGTTTGAATTGACAGCTATGACGTCAAAATATGGCGCCCAGTCGGTCCTATTGTTAGTTGAATCGCATTATAATTAGCAACTGTTGAAGCTTAGAGAGATTCCGTCTTAATGAAGGAAAAGAACACTATCTAAGACAAATACTTCCAAGGATTTAAAAACTTATGAACTCTTAAGTGGCTATCACTTTGATTTTTTGATGTACTCGTAACTTGCAAGGTTTTCGTTGTAAACAGTGGGCGGACTATCTGCCAACTATCTGAGGCGCTGCAAGTTTAAATTGATCAATTTAACTTGAACAACTAGCTGGGTACTATTTGACCGTCAGTAGGGCTGATGTATTTCACATGTTTGTTTATGGTAGGAGATTCCAAGCAGGGATTTTTGGATTTACTCTTTTGGAGTGCGGCAGATTGACGTTTGGCTGGCAAACTTGCACCTTGTGAAGTACTCCCGCCATACCTAGGCCCTCTGTGTAGAGCCGAACGTCTAAAGCGCCCAATATTTTTTTTAAATTTGGCCATGTCTTTTGGCCGCGTCCAAATCGTCAGTCTTTTGAATAGGAGCTACTAGAGGATTCACGTAACATTTCTGTTGACAGAAAAAATATGGATCTTCCTATTTGCATAGTGTGGGGCTGACCGTAGAAAGGGGTAAAATTTAAGGGAGAAATAATATGCAAGAGCTTCACAGAATAAGAAGGGTTTATATTTTTTTATTACATTCGTTTTCATAGTACATTCACCCGGATAGCGAATATTAGAATTATTGAGAAGGGATGTTAGGCGAACCCTGCACTAGCTCCTATTCAAAAGACTGACGATTTGGACGCAGCCAAAAGACATAGCCGATTGTTGAAAAATTTTTTTGACTGTCCTAGACGTTCGGCTCTACATCTCTATGTAGAGCATCCAGCAGCCCTCTGGCTCAGGTATGGTGAGAGTGCTTCACAAGATGCAAGGTGGCCCATCTTATTTTTTTATTTACCTATTTATTTTGTGCACACACAATAAAATATTAGAAAAAACCACCACTCCACATTTGTAGCTCTAACAATAAGATGGAGTTCAAAAAACTAGTGCGTGAACAATTCCTGACCTGACTACGCAATCTCTCCTTTTTTGTTATTATTTATAGTTTGTATCTATTTATATATTATATATATTGTATTTTATGTATGTATATATTTATTTGTGTAGTTTATGTAGATGTATCCAATTTAGTATAAACATATTTATACATATATTTTAATCGCTGTTATTTTCTAAATATTTTATTACAAAGCATTTTGCCCTATCGCCATACCATTTGTCTCTAACACTCGTTCAGGTCGTTTGCATATATATGGCAATGAAGTTTAAATAAATAAAAAAAATAAAAAAGAGAAACAAGAGACATGTACAAGCGCGGCAGATTAACATAAGAACTTATGTTAATCTGCCGCGCTCGAGTTTATAAAATAAATAAATAAATATTTCCAGCACTCACACCAATTAGCCTAGCCCCAAAGTAAGCACTGTAAGGTGATATGGGATACTAGGGTAACGGACAGAATACATATACTGTACATATATAAGTATATTTATATAGAAATACATATTAAACATCCATGACTGGAGTACAAATGCTCGTATTCATCACACAAACATCTGCCCCCACCGGGATTCGAACCGTATAAACCACTCGGCCACGGAGGTTATAAAAAAATCCTCACTTGTCCTTCCCTACTATTAAACGGGTGCCCGAATTTGAGTTGTGTCTTTCGTGTAAGCAAATATGGGCTAGCGACCAAGTGTAATTGAGCCACAAGAGAAAAACATAACTTTATCAAAAGGTAGTGTTTATCGGGTGCTGGAATCTCTTATCTATTAGACAAGTCCGTCCGTCCGTCCGTCTGTGGTGCTGTTTCAGCGGCCAAACCGTAAGAGATAGATAAAGAGAATGTTTAAGTTATAAGTTAAGAATAGTCTGATAAGACTACAAACCGGATTTGAGTAACGTAGCACTTCCGGTTTTCGAGAAATCACGAATTTCAAACGAAACCACACAAAATCTCCGAAGTTCTCAATTAATTAAATACATTTTTTTTTTAAATCAGGTTTTGGTGAACATTTGGTTCACTGGTTTGCTAGTGCTATTCTATTCTTAAAACCAATACGCCCAACCATTTTCTAATAAAGTTCATGATAATTAAACAAACAAAAAACAAAAATACATACTTTATTAAATAAATTAAATAATAAATT